CTATGGATTTGGGCATCGCTAGAAAGCCAAGGAGAGGGTCTTCAGCCCCTGCCTTTGGGACCAGACCCCCCAGGAACACCCCCACCTCCACGGTCGGCTCCCTCGCTTACCTATCGCCTTCTTCAGCGTCTCGTACGTGATCTCTTCGGCTGGTGCTCGCTAAAGGAAGGGGAAAGGCAGATGAGGCTGAACACACAGCACAGGACACCATTCCGAGATCACAGCAACCCAGAACCAGTGTCCCGGGATTTATTCTTGCACCAAAACACAGCCTGTCCTTAAAGATCAGCGATATTTTCCCTGGCAACTTGCACCTTTAATTTTTTTTTTTTTTCCAGCTGGACTAGCCAAGCCTTCCACCTCAGCAAAGCCTCCCATTGCTAAGAAATATGCATACCGGGAAAAAAAAAAAGATTTTCCACCCAAAGAGCAGTGAGTGACCCCTCCTTCCCACCCAGGCTGGGACCTGCAGCAGCTGGGGGGGAGCAGCAGGAGATCTGGGGGTTTTATGGCCCCGCTCGCTGCCAGAGATGCTGGGGCTGCATTAGGGGCTCCTGTGCTTGCAGGCAGAGGAGCAATTGTGCATTGCAGGCAAATGAAGAATTAGGAAGGGCTTAATTGCACATTGTCAGGCCGCTAAACCTCGCGGTGCCGACGGGATCTGGCGTAAGACGGTACCTGCTCTCGCTCCGGACTGTTTCTCGACTCCACCTCGACCTGCAGGGAAATGGTCTCGCCGATGCTCTTCCTCTTGGACAAGCGATCTTCATCTGGGGAGGAAGAGAAAGGGCAGAATTGCTCACTGCAGCCACTCTGGGCACAACGGGGCGAGCACAGGTGGCTCTCAGGGAACACAACCTCACATCCCAACCCCCGGGGCAGCGGTCCATCCACCCAAATCCACCCAAACCAGCAGAACCGAGGACTGAGCCAAGCCCAGAGGGGCTTTGTGGCTTCTTCCACCCATCCAACCATGCCTGTGTCAACCCCAGGAAGCTCCCAATCAACCGCTTTATGCCTCAGTTTCCTCCAGGCAACACCTCGAAAGGAGAGCAGGAAAACAACATGCCCACGTGTAGGACAAGAACTTCATCCCCCCATAACTGGGCAGAGCAGGGGAGAAGTTTCTTTCCCCTCCCCTGAGTTCTCCAGGATGCCCAGGGGAGTGCGTACCTGTCAGCTGGGGGATGTAGGGTGTGCTGAGCCAGTCCGAGTTGTAGCCACTACCACCCAGCACCTCACTGATCTTGCTCTGCCAGAAGAAGACCTCTGGGCCCAGGTGGTCAAGGCTCTTGCTCAACCTACAGAGATGGAAAAAACCCAACAGAGATGGAGAAAAAGCCCAACTGAGATGGAGAAAACCCAACAGAGATGGAGAAAACTCAGTGGAGATGGAGAAAAACCAACGGAGATGGAGAAAACCCAAAAGAGATGGAGAAAACCCAACAGAGATGGAGAAAAACCCAACGGAGATGGAGAAAACCCAAAGGAGATGGAGAAAACCCCAACGGCAATGGAGAAAACCCCAACGGCTCCTGCCAGGAGAACCATGCCAGCAGGGTTTCCAGTCCTGCTGGGTCAGAAGCAGAGGGCTCTCATGACTTTGCTTAGCTCCAGCACAGCTGGATATATCACACAATTTCTGCACACGTCAGCACAAAGCCAGAGTCTCAGAGGGGCTCTTGACCAGTGTTGTGGTTTTGAACCCTGCTAGTGGCAAACACCATTCAGCCGCTCGCTCGAGCCTTCCCTCCTGGGGACGGGGGAGAGAACTAAAGGGGTACACCCCTCCTGCTGTCAGACAAGGTGGGGAGCAGCCCATGGAGCTGATCTCAGCATTTGGCTGGCTGTGAGCACAAGCCGTGGTGGCCACCCCCCTCCCTGGCTGCACGGGATCCTCCTCGGACTCTAAACAGGCTGGAAAACACCAGATGGGAAAGGAGACAAGCACAGGCAAGTGATGGGCTGATAAACCCACCATCGCCCACGAACCCATGGATGCCAAACCCTCAGGAGCCGGTAGTGGGGAAGCATCATAGAATCACAGGATGGTCTGGGTGGGAAGGGACCTTCAAGATCATCCAGTGCCACCCCCTGCCATGGGCAGGGACACCTCCCACCAGCCCAGGTTGCTCAAAGCCTCATCCAGCCTGGCCTTGAACCCCTCCAGGGATGGGGCATCCACAGCTTCTCTGGGCACCCTGGGCCACTGCTTCACCCCCCGCACAGGAAAACATTTCTTCCTCACATCTCATCTCCATCTCCCCTCTTCCAGCTTCAAACCGTTCCCCCTGGTCCCGTCCCTCCTCCCTGACACATAGTGCCTCCCCACCTCTCCTGTAGACATCCTGAAGGTATTTTCCAGGCTCTTACCTGGGTCCCTCCACAAACACATCCTCAGGGAGCAGATAGGGAGCTTCCTTCTGCCGCATCTGGATGACCTGCAGAAGACAAGCAAGGAGCCAAGCTCAAACCCCACGGCTGGCCAGGAGAGCCGATGCCAGGGCCTCCACGGACAAGGCTCCAGCCCCATCCCAGCCCGTCCCTCGTACCTCGTGGATGTGCTGGCAGAAGGTGGGCACGGTGGTGAGCTGGCTGATGAGGTTCAGGTAAGCTGCACCCAGGGCGAAGAGCGCGCAGCGGTTGTACGCTGTCAAGTTATCTTCGTTGATCTGGGCAATCTCCTGCAACAGAGACGAAGCCCCATGAGACGAGGATGGACAAAGCCCCAGCATGGTCTTCAACCACCTCGTGGCATCACCTGCCCTCCAAACACCTCAAATTTGGGGTTTGCAGCATTTCAGAGGCTGACAAGGTGACTGGTGTCTCTCCCCAGCATGTTGCTCTGATCCCGCGATGGTGGAAGAAGCTCAGAGAGGGTGAAGCACTTGCATCCCCCCTTCCTCAAAGACCCCAACTCCAAACCAACCCCCTTCCCAGAGGTTCCTTCCCATCACATCCCAGCCCTACAGCACGGAGCGCCGGCAGCACGTCCAGCTCCTGCCCACCTGCACGGCCAGCACCAAGCGGATGAGGTCCACCACCACCTCCTCGTTAGCCAGCTCGATGCTGATGAGCATCAGCATGCTGTAGAGAGCCTCGTAGTGAGCCTGCGCGTTGCTCTCCTCCTTACAGATCAGGTAGATGTGCCGGTAGAGCTGCTGGCCATGCTGTGGGGACATGGAGAGATGCCGTCACCTCCTGAGCATCCTCTGTGAGCAACGCTGCCATCAACGCAGAGAAAGAAACGCAGCAGGACCCAGCAAAGGGGTCTGCACCCATCCAGCAGGGAGCAGAGCTCCTCCCAGCACCAAGAAAATGAAGAAATCCCGAGGGAGAGGGAGCTGGGACTATCACAGAATCACACAGAATCACAGAATGTTAGAGATTGGAAGGGACCTCGAAAGATCATCTAGTCCATCAGATGGTGCTTCACTGGTTGATGCTGGACCCTGACAGGGAAGAGGCACCGGCAGGTCCGAGAGCGGAGCACTGGCACCACCCAGCCCAGGGAAAGGATGCTTCTGCTGCAGAAGCATTACAGAACTCATGGCAGAAAAAACCAACCCTTGAGACACCTTGCTTGGCAGCGGGGCATGGGCCAGAGCAGGTCTGGTGCACAGGAAACTCTGCTCTGCGATGGTTTTTGGTTTAGGGGCTGCACAAGGTAACAAACGGATCCTCTCTCAGCCTCAAGTTAGCTCCCGAGGGGTCTGCACCACCCTGAGAGTGTTTTAAGAGGTGGGAATAAAAAGAAATAAAATCAGGCAACTTCCAAAGCCACTTGGGAAATAGCTTTTCGGGTACCAGCACACGCCGGGGTACTCATTGCGTGGGGCAAAGAGCAGATCGAGGAGCCTAGAAAGACCCACACGTGACACACTGATGGAAACTGAACCCCACTGGCTTTCCCCAGGGACATCCCCAGGTTTGGAGGCATCCAGACTCAGTGTGACTTGGGGAAACTGAGGCACGGTCCTCACACTGGTCTGCACAAGGACAGCTTGACCTGGACCCCGACAATACCTTCTTCATGAAGACGGTATCTTGGCGGGAGCATTTGTCCACTTTCAGCTTCAGAACCGAGATGTCGCTGATGGTGCTGCAGGGAAAGGCCAAGGGGAAGGGGAAACTCAGACACCGGAGGGAGGAGGCGCGATTCCCGCACGCCTGCAGAGCTGCTGGCCAGGAGCCAGGCGTCTGGGGGGCACCGAGGCGGAGAAGTGAACGGTGGCTTTTAAAACCCATCTGAGCAACTCAGATATTCGAGCACTGAGCCAGATCACGACCTGATTTCAAGGCAGTGGTGCTCACAAAGGCACGTTACAGAGAAGCGTGCAAGCACAGCACCACAGCAAAACCCACGGAGATGTTTCCAGCTGGGATGACGGTCCAAGGTAACGCAGATGGACAACATGAGCGCCCAGCAGGTCTCTCCGTGGGGATAAAAAGCAGTCGACAAACCCACTTGAGGAGGTTATTCCTCCTGCACATCCTCCTGGGACACTGTCTAACCATGGTTACATCCAGCAGCGTGGTCCCACGTATCTCTCAGAGACCCCCCACCCATCTGGCTCCCAGCAGCCCACGATCCGCAGCATTACACCACCCCAGAACTGGGACCAGGCTTATTCATAACCCTGCCAGCGCTCCCAGCCCAGCCCGTCTCCCTCCCAGTCCTGCTCAGCATGGTCCGCAGGTCCCAGTCCTGTTGAGCCCCCAGGACATACCTGATGGTGGAGAATTTCTGCCGGTTGCCATGGCGATCGATGAAGCTGATGAGGATCTCGAGGACAAAGAGGCGGATCTCAGCATCCTCCATGAGGGCCGCGGAGAGCAGCCGGTCCAGGAAGGCACTGGGAAGGGCCGTCAGCATGTTACTGCACTGGAAACCCACAGAGACCTGCAAGAAAAAAGGGAGGTGGAGTGACAGGGTCACTTTGAGGGGTTAAAACACACCAAAAAAAGAGGGGATGCAAGCAGAGGGGACTAAGTGCAGCTTGAGCTCTTCCTAAAGCATCCCTGGGGTGGGGGTTCCTGAGCTCAGCTCCCCCATGCTGGGGACCCTGTGTATCATGGGGCTGGACACTCCTGCGGGGACGGTGACATCTTCATACCTGGAGGAGGGACTTGAGAAGCATGATCTGTGTCAGCCGATTCCGGTTCTCCCTGTCCCAGAAAGAGGAAATAAATGGTAAAATCCAAGTGAAACCAAAACAACCCTCCTTCCAATACCCAAAGGATGGAAAAGGCTCAGAAAGGGCAGGACCAGTTTCCTAAGAGTCCCCACCGCATCCAGCCATGCTGGAAAGGTCTCCAACAAACAAGCTCCAGATTTCCCAGCCAGCAAAAAGGCTGCTAAAGGAACAACAAATATAAGAGCATACATCCCACTGCAGGCACCGGAGCCAAGGCAGCACCCGCCCCTCTGGGCAGGTGCAAGATGATGAACCAACCTCTGGATGTGCCCATCCCACAGCGACTCTGGAGGGATGCCTCCGAACGGGTTTCTCACTTTTAAGCAGCTGAAAATCGGTGAGACGAAGCCCAAGCCCTCCTGCCCGCAAAGGTACCCTCATTCCTCACTCCCTTCTCACTTCTTGCAAAGCCACCATGAACAACGCTTCCATTTCAGCAACGTGGGTTTGTTGGTTTGTTTTTTTTTTTAATGCAAAAAAGAGGAAATCTTGAATTCTCTACTGTCTGAGCTGGAAGGGGACACCCCAAGGGATCTCCAGGCTGTCCCATCTCCCACGACACGCTGCCTGTGCTGCCCGCATCTGCCTGGGGACTGAGCCACACCACCAACGGCAGCATCCCCAGCAGCTGGACCGCTCCTCTGCAAAGCCCTGGGTCGCACCCAGAGCAAGCAGCATCCTTCACACAGCGTCAGCCGTGATTGAAAATCTCTCCCGAAGGAAGCTGATCAAGGAGCAGTGACAAACGTGACGGCCATCCTGGGGTTAGGAGCCTGATTCTGCTCCTAGAGCAAGGAAACTGCCCCAGCCAAATGGCACCCAGCGTGTCTCCCACCGCATGAACCGGGATTGAACGCCGGCGTCAGGAATCACTCCCATCCGTGTCTCCTATCAGCCGGCAAAGAGACAAGTGGGAAGAGCCCGACCATACTCTGAAGATAAATATAGCACGAAAATCTGTTTGCTCCTTACCTACACGTTTCAGCGCTAATACCCTCAGCTCCAAATAGCTCTCGTGGTTTGTTCCCACACTTCTTAAGCAATTATGCTGTTTGGGTGTTTTCCCTCCCTTCTCGTCCTCCACCGCCGGGTATAAATACTGCCTCCTGCTCGGTGTTCATAAAAGCTCGGAGGCAGCTCGGAGGGGCCAGCGGAGAGATGCTGCGATGAGCAGCCAGTCCTCCAAAACCATCCAGGAGCTTCTCAAAAGCTTCCGCACTCCCCAGCTGCCCTGAGACATCTCAAGACACTCCCCTGAATATTATTATTTTTTGTTCCTGGCTCGTTTCAGATGACATCCCAGGACCGAGCTCCTGCCAGCGGAATCTCTCAGCGGGTACCCGAAAAAATGCAGAATTCAGCTGCAGTGCCTCTGTCTGAAAAATCCTTCCACTCGATGCTCCAGCGGTGCAGGGGGTCCTTGCAGCAGAGAGGGATCGCACGTTGCTCAGCTTCCCTTCCTCTTCGGCAGAAGCTTTCGATGCTCAGCCTTTCTGATAACATGCCCGCATCCCACCCTGTCCCCAAAGGCCACCTCAAGCTGGGAATGATTTCAGGAGCTCCCCAGAATTTTCAGCTCCATGTTCAAAGCCTTACACCCCCCTCCCTGACGCGGGACAGCAGCAGGGGCAGCAGGGCAAGGGGGAGGAAGAGGAGGGAGGAAGGCATCCGCTCTCACCCAGCTTTGCCAGCCTCGATGGACTGCTGCGAGGAGGGCAGCGGCACCTTGTTCATGATGAAGACCATCACCTCCGACTGCTGGTAGGTGGGCAGCGTGCTGGCGAAAGACCCTGCGGGGACAAGAGGGTGCTGGCAGGGTGCGAGGCGCAGCCCACCACCCCGAGAAGCCCCCAGGGCCGGACCCCACAGCCAGGCTGGGACAGGACAAAGCTCACCTGGATCCGGTACCTGTAGGCAGCTTTATTTTTGGGATGATTTAATACCCCCCAAAACACCTCCCAGGTGGAGCAACCCAGGCCAGGGGAGGCTGCAAGATGCCAGCCCCCCATTCCTTGTTTTGGGGCTGGTGCATTCCCATCCCCAGTGGCTGCAGTAAGCCGACATCTGCCCTTTTTCCCTTTTTTCCTTCCCTTCCTCAGGGTCTCCTGCCCAGGGAGAAAGAGGGCTCTGCCGGCTCGCAGCAGCTCTGCCGGGGCTGGTGGGGGTGCAATGCCCCCTGCTGATAACCCGCCACCGCGCGTGCAGCACTCCACAATAAATAAATCCCATTTCCCATCACTGCTTTTAGGATGAATCATAGAATCATCAAAGAGTTTGGGTGGGAAGGGACCTTAAAGCCCATCCAGTGCCACCCCCTGCCATGGGCAGGGACACCTCCCACCAGCCCAGGTTGCTCAGAGCCCCATCCAACCTGACCTTGAATATTTCCAGGGATGGAGCATCTCCCACCCCCCTGGGTGACCTGTGCCAGTGTTTCATTCATAAAAAAATATCTTCCTTACAACTAGTCTGAATCTCCCCTTTTTTAGTTTAAAACCATTTCCCCTTGTCCTATCACAAGGGATCCCACTGAAAAGTTCGTCCCCATCTTTCTTACAAGCCCCCGTCAAGCACCGAAAGGCTGCGACCAGGTCACAGGGAAAGCCTAAAACCACTGAGCTTAGATTGCAAGGATGAGACTCGCCTAAAAAATTAAAGACTTCAGGTGTCACCAGGTCTCATGATTAACCAGAGGCACTAGTTTGGCTCAACCTGTCTGTGAAAAAGAGACTGCAATCTCCACACCCTCCTTCCTCTGGGAAATCCTCTAATTTGGAGGAAGCTGGGTTGTTTTTTTTTTTTTGGTTGGTTGGGTTTTGTTTTTTGGTTTTGGGGTTTTTTTTTGTGGTTTTTTTTTTTTTTTTTCTGATCAGTTACAGATAAATTTTGGCGTTGATAAACATTTTTACTAAGCTTAAGTATTATTTACTGTTCAAATGGTGATATCAACATCAGAAAGATTCTTTGAAGTCTTGCCCAATGCCAGGAAATATATAAAAATCCAGTACTTGCAAATGGATAAATGAATTTATAATACTATATGTTGAGGAAATAATAATAAAAAATTCAATTATGATTTTGAATGACATCAGAATGAATTCTGAATCACAGAATGAAGGTGGGGGTGACTTAAGTTTTGTTTCACCCTGGATAATCTCGCAGATGCACAAAGCAGAAACCTGCGGGGATGCCTCACCGATGGTTTTAATGACAGCCTCCTGGAACATCCTCTCCTCGTGCTCCTTGATGATCTTGGTGCTGACGCCGGCCGCGCAGTCGTAGCTGCCGGTCAGCGCGTAGTCGATGCTGAGCCGCAGCCGCCGCAGCCGGGTGTTGAACACCTCCAGCACCGTCGGCCC